TCAAACATTAAATTACTAAAACTTAGAAATAGAAAATGCAGAAATAGAAACTTATTAAAAAATAGCATCTCAATGAAAATAACACTTGTGTGAATAGCGTTTTATTCAATTAAATTTGCTATATGTATGAATTGTATTAATAGCATATTTTATTGCCAATGTGTAATGTAACTTAAAAAAACCTAGGCTTTCCACAATTTCCTAGGTTGTCTGAAAGCCTGAAGGCTGATTTTTATGTAAAGGATGTATTTGCTGGGAAAATCAAAAGGATATGACGTGTATTACGAAGGCACACACAGACCACAAGGTAACAATTTAACATTTAGGTGTTCTGGGTGTTTTCAGCATGTTGTTAAGTCGTTGCTAGTGTGTTCTGGGTGATTGCTAACCAGCCCAAATCAAAAAAGACCAATCCACAAATCTCCATGACTTTGTTCCCTCAGTCCAAGTAGATTTTCCATCCCGTCCACCAAGCGAAAAACAATCCCACTGCATAGAAAATTAATAACACACCTCTCTTTCGACAAGATACACACATAATTTTTGTGGAAGTTTTTGACGGACAGATGTCACACAATCCAAAATGTAGATTGAATCTCTCATTCGGATTATATAGAGGGATTTCTTTGAGCTTTAAACCCCCGTCAGTTGTTTTTTATGTAATCAGATGTAACCCAAACAGAAGACTGTTAATCGCAAACTTGGTGTACCAAGTTTTTGTGTGTGTAAATGTCATCGACTGCCCCTTTTCCTGCCAATGATCTGAGTGTCGTTACATAAAGGGAGTCTGAAACACTCCACGTTGGAATTGAGAAATGCTGCTTTGGGATGCAATTTACCAAGCAACAAGCTTGTTGTTACAATGCCGCTAAGAGTTTTTCAATGGTAAAATTAGCAGCGGGAGTCTATCAAATCACAAAAGCTAAACCCATAGAAGGAAATTCCCACTGTGGCGGATTGCATAAGGTAAACAGACTAATGTGACTGAGAAAGTCTTCAAACATTCAGCAAATTCCTTGATACAGCCGTCATAATGCAAGTAAGGGAACAGGTTGCATTGGTTTGATTCCCAGCATTCACATGCATTGCTTAAGGGCAAGCAATTGTTTTTTCTATTTTTTTCAAAAAGAAAATATGAATAGTAGGACAACTCAGGTGTCACACTCCAAAACAGACCTGAGCTGTGCTTGAGCTCAATGTACTGCCACTTACTTTTTCTTGTACTTCAGCGAAAGAGCCTTCCAGAAGTCAATTTCCTCGTCTTTGGAGGCAAATTTTGGTATTATTATTGCATCCATGACAGATAAACCTGTGAGATCACACAAAAAGCACACATATTCTTTAGCACACAAAAGTAAACAAAAATGTAATCAAATATTGATATTACCATAAACTGCATTAGCCAAATAATATGCAAACATTTTAATGCAACGTTATGATTTTTGAGGATAAAAACATGTCACGCCAAAGTTGGCAGTGTCTACCAAATGACAGATGGATTTGTACCGTAACACTGAGGGTGCGTCCGAAATAGCATGTTCTCTTGAATAGCTACTTATTTTGAATAAGTTCTTGCTGTGCCAGCGCTAAAAAGAACACGTTCGCTTCTATATACAATGAATGTGTGTAGTATGAATGTAATAAGGCGGGCATACTATATTCACCGTGTATTCCAGCATGAGTTGGTAAAGTGTTCATTGTATGCACACTTCAGAATCTCTGGAAAGTATGAAATTTCAGATTTCAGAAATTTCAGAAGTTTTATCGGCGCACGCCTGTGACTTCAACCACAAAAGATATGGAAATTGTTTCATCCTTCCTTTTAACAGTTGAAAGTCTACTACACTACTGTTTAAAAGTTTGGGGTTGGCAAGATTTGCCAACGTTTCAGAAAGAAGTATCTTATACTCACCAAGACTGCATTTATATAATAAAAATCACAGTGAAAACAGTAATATTGGAAAATATTAAACTTAAAATTGCTGTTTTCTAATTTCCTAAAATGTAATTTATTTGATTTTAGCAGCTATTGCTCCAGTCTCCCGTGCCACATGATCCAACAGAAATCATTGTAATTTGCTAACTTTGGTTGTCAAGAAAAAATCCTATTATTATCAATGTTGTGAAAACTGTTGTGTTGTTCAATGTTTTTGTGGACAGTGATAGTTTCAGGATTCTTTGAGGAATATAAAATTCAAAAGAACAGCATTTATTTAAGAACAGAAATCTTTTCTAACAATATACCTTTTGATCAATTTAAAGCATCCCTTCAGAATAAAATCTCAATGACCCCAAACCTTTGAACAGTGTATTTATTTAGCCGCATGACTATTTGCATTGCTTTGTATCCATGACCCCATCAGAACAGACCTGTGACCCATTTTTGGGTCATGACGCAGTTGAGAACCACTGAGCTAGATCTTTTATGTAAAGTTAAATTGGCGGTAGCATGCACCTCAGTTCACCTCCTCTACATGAGCTACTGGTGTCCCAAATAATCAATAGAACTGTGTGCAGTCTGATCCAACAAACCCATAGAAGCTCCATGTGTCCATGCATTCTTGATTTCTCACTGCGTGTCAAACTTAAGCTGGTATCAATTTATTAAAAATACTTAAAATCTGTTTTACTTACAATTTTCATTTACTTTTCAATTTTCATTTTTTTCCACTGAAAACGAGTTCTGATTGGTTATAAATAATGTCTGAGTGTAAAATAAAAATTGTCAACATGCACCTGATGGAACCACTTAAACACTGTATTTACAGTTCTCCTAAAACACAGTAGATCCGCGAGGGAAGGAGAAATTAATGGTGATTTTATGTTTATGCATTATGCACACTAAATTTAATTCAAATTTAAATTATTCGCAAATAAAATAAAGCAAATAAAGAGTGACAAAAATAGTCTCATGAACAAATGAATCATCCTCTGAGAAATGAAATGTGTTCACGAAATGGAGAAAGGAGGAGAGATGTTTAAATATTGCTAATTATTACATTTATTATTATTTTTATTTTATTATTAAAATTATTTATTTTATTTTTATATACAATTATTATTATTATTAAAAAGAAAATAGACATTTAATATAAGTCTATTCATTTCAGAAACATCAGCAAAATATACATCATTATGCACACTAAGATAACTATATAAAGGGGAAAAGTTGGAAAATAAATAATACACCTTCAAAGAATATAGCCTTGTTGAAAACTAAATGTTGATTTTCAGTCTTTCTAAACTCTTAAAGAGCGGATGCGCTCGGTCCAGATGACAGTCCGATGTCGGTCTAACAACTACTAAACGATAAATATGCCATCTATACTTCATCAAATCTACAACCAACACATGTATCGGAGACCAGAAACATCACTTCTGACATGTTTCTTTTCAAATAACACTGACACCAAGATAACCCTTCAATTTTCACTATAGCGAACCCCGGTACATTGACGTTAGCTAACGTAGCCACGAGCTAGCTGAGCTGACGTTAAGCTAACAACAACAACTGTGATGGTGCGCTTTGAATTTACACGAACATATATGATATAGACATTAAAATTACGTTGAAACGCATTTATGTGGCTACAGTGAGTGACGTGAGATGTTATCTTCTCTGCTAGCCTTAATGGATGAGATGCTGCTTATGAAGAGCACTAGGGTGTTGTCTTATTTTTGATTATCTACTTGTGTGATCATGTGTAACTTAACTTAAAGATCTGACTACATCATTTGTAAATATTGAGATTTAATAATTATCTAATCATCAATTGTGATTCAATGAACTCACCTGCACATTTCCAGGATCTTTGACGCTGATAGGAATGACTGTGATCCCGACACAGTCTTCAGTGTTTCAGCATCCTCTCTCTCTCTCTCTCTCTCTCTCTCTCTCTCTCTCTCTCTCTCTCTCTCTCTCTCTCTTCATTGACGTGCACGTAAAGTGATCCTGGCGACGCCTCTTACAATACGAAAATAACGTAACATTTATTTATTTAGTTAGAGCTGAAATTTTAGTGGGAATAATGTTACAAAAATATATATGACGTTTTAATTATTTTGTTATTTATTTAAAGTACGTTAGATAAATAAGGTAACAGCAAATATGACTTTTTAGTTGGTTTATCTGACACTTTAAATAGTGTGAATAAAATGTGACACTTTCTCTTTTGAAAATAGAAATTACAATTAGCTTAAAAGCCCAACAATACGCACATAACTATATGATTGCGATTAGCAATGTATGACCCACTTTATGATAGGCTATCTGGTGTGACAAAGTGTTTCAAATTTACTAGCCGTCCCATTTTGCATAGCCTATGTAATAAAGCAATAATAACATGGATACTTTGTTACACTGAGAGTCATAGATTTCAGAAAATGTCAATACAAAATTTATTGAGGATGTACAGTAAATGTACATATAGTCAATTATATGCTGCACGTAAAACCTATAAAACCTAAAACATCTTACACAATTACCTTGATAAAGAAGGAAACAATATCACTAGAGTTGTGTTTGTAACATCAGTCCAATAGGTGGTGCTGTAGTTCAATATAACATAGTCACGGAGCCCTTAGCACACCAACGAAAAATGAATTTATAATTAGTCATTATTAAATATTATTAAATTCATATTAATTAATAGTAATTCAAAATAATACATTTTACCATACTAAACTTAAAAAAAAACATTGATACATATATCATGTTAAATTTATATGTTTTTTTTGTTTGTTTGTTTGTTTATTGCTATTAAGATTTAAGTAGCCTATGTGGCATCAGATATTAGGACAGGTAATGACATTACACTTAAGTGTATCACAATAAATTATACATATTATATTTGTCAAACATTTGACAAATTTTTATTCATTTCTGGTATTTTAATTAACAAAAAAAAAACATATGTTATGTGGCATGTCTAGGAGCACAAAAAGACACATTTCAGGATTTTAAATATTAGAGAACACTGTTATACTTTTTTCCACTTGAGCTGTGAGGTACTTTTTGTCTTTTAAGGTTATTCTGCCAGACAAATAATTACATTGTTTATATTTGGTGTATATTTTGTAAAAATGCTAGGCATAAAACTGTTGCAAATTTTTATACATTTTTATACAATCCAACCAAAACTGCATACTAAAGACCAGTGTGATAAAGCTACCTCTAAGATATTGCATAATATTAATACAGCTATGACCACAACAAAGAGAACAGCTAAGAATATTTCATGTTCACGATGACGGATTCAGTGTTACCACAGCCACAGGCTATCAATAGTTGGAAAGATAGCTGAGGCTTTTTATCATTCATATCTGTCACTACACAGAGTGATGGATCAGAGAGAGGAAGGAAATGTTTTGTTGTATGTGTGACTAACATGGTACTGACAAATATAGTCAACATTAGAAACAAATCTAAAGATTATCATCCATCCAGTGACAAACAGAAAGACGGAAAGAGGTGCCATTTTTGACTTTACATATGTACAATAACAAAATATGTACAACCATTTCCTGTTCGTGTTCATTTTGCGCAATTAAAAAAAAGGAAACACTTTTAAACCATATACATTAATGAACTCTGTCCAGTTCATCCTCTGCACTCTGCGTCAGGTCAGTCCTTGCCTCGATATGTGATGTTTGTGAATGTTGATGTGGCACCTTTGTAGAGAGGGTTGTGACCCTACAAGAATAAAAATGTCAGAATAAAAAAAGTCAGTGTGCATTTATACCAGTCTAGGTTCTCTCAAAGTTATGAGCAAACATTCTTCCAGTAACATTAATAAAACATTCACTTCATTCGGAGATATCTGGTATTTAAAATGGTTCTTAAAATGTTGCCATTTATACGTCCTTCATTGGACTTTTTTTCTGAGACGTTTTAGTTGGACGCTCGTCAAACATTGTTTCAGAATGGTTAGAGAACATTCAAAAGCAACATTCCCATAATGTTTGCGAAATGATAAAATGTTCCCTTAATGTTCGCATAGCCAAATTTTCAAATGTTTAAAGATCTCCTGTGGTGCAAATCAAGTTTTTAATGTTGTTTATATGTCAATGTGGTGATTTAATAAGCTTTAAGACAAACCATATGCAAATTCATTTGTCAGTATTGCTGAAGAGTCTCAAAAACGCTGTTTGAAACCACCCGTTTCCTACCTTCACAAACATGTAACCAGTCCTATCAACATTTCTTATCATTGAGTATTAAACTCTTTAAGAAAGGACAGGAAAAATCGGATGCAGAAATATATCGGGTGAATTGTATACTGTATGTAGCCTATATTACAATGTTATGATAAACTTTCTCCACTGACTTTCTGATGTTCAAAACATTTCTAAGGATGCTGATTTTTTTAGAAGGCAGCTGTCTGACTTTGAGATGGCAAACGAGAACATGGTTTGTGTAAAATTAGCAACACATTGATAGTCAAGCAAATGCTAATCATATCAATTAACGGTATGTGTCCGGCGTAGAAGTAAGCGATACATAAAACGCATTACATACTGATACATAGTCTTGTAGACGACCCTATAATTCACTCTTCCACTTCTTCTTCTAAATCAGTTTCTAGTTCAAACATATATGGCTGAATTAAACCAAGCACTTGCCATAATATAGCATTTACTACAGTGTGTGATTGAGTGGAGGCGGAGACTAATTTGCATATTTAAACATTCTCGTTTACGAAATAAACCAAGGGTTATACATTTGAGCTATTTAAAGGCATGACAAAAAAATCTTGAATATGTAATTTTAGTTATCAAAGATACAATTATTGAAAGGATACAATTGATTCAGGTCAACTGCAATAAACTGAGAACATTCAGAAATAAGGTTTCAATAACTAAAGGTTAGCAAAACATTCTTGGAACATATTTTTGTTAGCTGGTTAAGTGGTCAAGTTTAAGTGGGAAACTCTCAAGTGAAAGGATCAGAGAGTTCACATGTGGCCCGAGACCTCATGGGGAAAGCCTAATTAGCATGGCTAATTTAAAACAAAACTCGCCCAAAGGTACGGAGGCGTTTCCTTTGTTCTGAGGGGGGAAAACAGCATGCCACTGAAACAGTAAAACCATCCTGCCAACATGTATAGTCCACCAAGCTACTTCGACACAGTAATTTGAGCTTTTTACATTAAACATAGGGGTGTGTGAGTGAAAATGTTTTGTTATGTATCCTAAAGTCTTTGATCACTTAGCTTCTATCTGAAATGTACAGCAGTATGCACATAGTGTATTTCGTGAGCATTTTTACACTTCACTAACCGTTTCCCACTTGGCACGCGCCCGCTCTTCCTCAAACTTAGCAAATTCACGGCGATCATGGATGGTGATTAGCAGTTTCCAGATAAGCAGAGCGGCCAGACCCAAGAACAAGATGGCACCAGCTACTGACAAGAGCACCACCAAGATGTCAGGGCCTTTAGGGCAGTCTAGTACACAGGAAAATAAATGGGGTTAGAGATCTTCTTAAAACTTTCATATAACAGGCAAGGTTTCAGAACTAAGTGTGTTTACTTTTAATTACACTTCTGTTCAAAAGTTTGAGGTGGTAAGACTTTTAAAAAAAAAATGAAATGCTCATTCACACAACTATAATGATAACAATAAAGATATAGTTTTAAAAATCAATTTAAACATAAATGATAGCACAGTCCACTATGGCAACATTTAATCATTAAAATGTACATAAAGTCCCTAAAGAATAAGCACTAGTACCTAATAAGTATTAATACCTAATGGAATAGATAACTAGTATTTAAAAATAAATACTAGTAGATACTTGTATGGTTTAAGGATTCAATTTTAAAACGGCTTGCTATCATGGCACAGAGAAACAATATAATTGGAATCACTTTCAAAATGATTTTTTTCCAGCTCATAAACGCTAAAAAAAATTACAGTCAATCAGACTCTACAGCTTACTGACCCTAAACTTTTGAATGGTAGTGTTTATGTACCTTGATTTCCCTTTTTTTCCGAATTTTCTAAAAACAAATCTGTAAGCTCTCTTATATTGTCTCGAGTCTGTCTCTTTGCTTCCTGTCTGAACCATTCCTGTCCCAGTGGGAATTACACTGTCAGCGGGTTCTTCAGTAGCTTGGATGTTGTTTATTGCGGTATGTTTTTACAAGGTGGGGTGCTCCCTGGGTTCTGGAGATGTGTGTGCCACTAATAGAGCCCATGTTCCACATGTGTGTCCATTAAAGCCGAGCAGCAGACTCTCACTGCGGGCTCCTGAATTTACAGCCGTAACACACTGCACATATACCTACTGTATAAACTCCTGTATGTTCTCAAATCTCTAATATCCAAAAATACTTTTATCTTCTCAAACTATCTTTGTAAAAAAATGGAGAGTTGCATTTAAAATTCAATAAACACACTGCAGTGAGAGCAGTGAAATGGTGTTACCTGGCTCTTTGACTAGAGACAAGATGGATTTGCCACTGTTGTCCTCATAGTACTGAAACCTTTGCACACAGTCATCTTCATCCTTATAGGTGCAATTTACTGCATTCTTATCATGGAACACTGAAGAGTAACAGAGGGTTATAAAAAAGCTGACACTAATATATAATAATATATATTTTATTGTGTTTATTACCAATGTTTCGGTTATAATCTGTAACGAATTGAATGTAATAATGGTACCCAGATCATCCACCAGACTGATTTCATCTCTGCAGATTCGAGTGCAGGTGTCATCATCGAAGAGTTTCCCCCTCTTGAAGTGCTTACACTCTACACAGTCCCTGAGAAAGAAAAAGTTTAAAGACGTAAAAATATTTTACTTAAATAAAGGCGGCATAAATGTATTAACTTGAATTAATATGAAAAACGGTGGAGTATCCATTTAATACTTTTAATATGTTATATTGTGCAAAGCATATACACACGGTGCCGAAAAAGTAGAATGGTATAAGCTATTATGCTCACTTTTTCAGGGTGCAGGCGTCGGGACATGTGGGGCATTTGTCGCAGGTGGAGCCGTAGGCCCCAGGCTGAGTGCACTCACAGCTCCCACACACACACTGACCACGACCGCTGCACAACAGCCCTAAACTGGACATACAAGTGTCTGTCCGAGTAGAACAATTGCAGTTCTCCCCCTTCCAGTCTGGATCACACTGGCAAAACCCACAGGAACAAGTGCCATGACCTAGAATGAGCCATGAAAGGAAGAAATAAGTGAGAAGATTCCGCATGGCTGAACTGTATGTTTGACTCTTGAAAGAATGCTTTTCAGGATTAATAATGTTCACTCCCATAATGTAATGAGGTTGAACTTGAGCCTATAAAAGTGCCTCATGTAGGGAGTTGTACATTCCACATTATTACCAAATATTATGCGGAGGCTTTCCATGGTTCACAAACTAAATTTCCCAGAACTGTTGTCAAACAGATCCATGTATCTTTTTTTTAATCACACATGTTTTCTAAAAATGGACAGCTGGTGCAGGTGAATGTCAGGAATGTGACAGAATTAATATGATAAGCATTATATACTATATTTCACTTGACATTCAATGACAGAATACTGAGCCCCATTACATGCGTTATAATTATAAACACATTTGCGGCGGTGTGCATGTTTGTGTAGGAGATTACCATGGTTTAGCAAAACAGTGTTTATGAGTGAACTGGGAATTTGGTTAAAAACACTGATGCAGCTAAATCAAAAACAAAATGGAAATAAAACAATGGCTAACCAAATGCAAAAAAAAAAAATAACATAGTAATGCATGTAATTATTCTTCTTCTTATAAGCCCTTTCACATCAACCCAAACACTACTTTACTCCCTCACTGGGCTATTTTTGGTTCAGTGACATAATCAGTGTGTGACAACGCAGAAAGGCATTTTCTGGATAACTTTGGGCCTCTGGGGATATGCGATTCAGGCTTTAAGAAACTTCTTACAGATTTTAAAGACTAACATTTTTTCAGTTGAAGACCTAAAAGGTACACTATGAAATCTTTTGGAACCACGAGTACTGAGATCTGGTTCTGCTTAAGCGAGAAAGCAACCCCCTTCCAGGAGGTACACAACTTCAAGAGGTCCACTATAGTATTTTGTAATTTTACATAAACTATTCGGCCATTCCAACTCAAACGCGCCCCAGTGGAACATCAGCACCTCGTCTGAAGAACAAACACACATGTCTCAAATAGGTCAACACATGGTTTAGCCTGCCAAGTCCCACAGAGCATGTTTATTTATAAGAAGAACTCGTTCTCAACTAACGCACGAGACGTTTTAGTGTTATTGTAGGTAATTCCTTTGAGGTGATGTGAGGTAGGGAACAGAGAATCTTACTCGTAAAGAAAGACTTTTGTACAAAATAACAGGCTGTGAAAAACAGAGCCTTTATCCTGCTGGTTGTGAGTTAGTCAAAGCTGAGATGCAGTAGCCCTAAAAAGAACGTGGACCCTTGAGTCACACTTAAAATGTATGAGTGTCTTTGCATTATTTGACAGATTATAAACCGAGTGACCATAAAAAAAAAACACCAGCACAATATTCAAGCATATTAATGCGCAAAAAGACCTTTTAAAGTGAAAACTAAAATATTCAGACAGTTTCTGAATGTCAAACGTTAGTAAAAACATGTTTTTATGTATGTCTAAATAATGAACTACATGATCTGAAACAAAAAAATATGATAACATTATATTTAATCTTTTTTTAATAAAAAAAAAAACTAAAAATCTTTTTAATGTTACTGAAAAAAAACAGATATTCAAAAGGTCACACTTACAAATAATCAGTAAAAAGCATTTGACATGCTGTCCGAGGGGAGGGCTCCGTGCTCGGAATTTGGCCCGAACCCAGAGTACTTCCTGTATCTCTGGTTAGGATAGTAACCAGACTAATGTGCGGAGACATGGTGGTGGAGGGATACAGAAAGTGTTGAGAAACATAAGTGAGTTGGCTGTATATATATATATATATATATATATATATAGGCCACCCCTCGTACTGATTGGATAGGCAATTTAAACATGTTCCAGTTTTGATTCACCAAAACAAACCAACCTCATAAGAATAATTTGTTTCAAAATCCGACCAGATTGGCTGTCCTGTATTTCAAAAAAAAATAAAAAAATGGCACCCTAAACACTTCCGGTCTTCTGACGAGTCTGCACTTTCGTGACGTAAACAACGCTTTGACTGTCCGGGTAGAAGTCTGTAGCGTAGCTCGCTTCAGTGCGGGTTTGACAAAAGTGTGTATCACTTGAAAAGCAACGGTCCTAGTACTGAGCCTTGAGGCACTCCATACTGTTAATGTCACATCTATTTGTAAACCCACAGTCTAATAATAAAACTCAACAGTCAGCAAAGTACATTTAGCTTCCCCTGAGCCCAAATCACGTCTTACCTGAGCAGAGCTCTCCTTTGTACCGCAGGCAGCTGAAATCGTCACACTCACACCTCTTCCCCCAAACCTTGCCAAAATCATTATTGTGGCACACGCATTGGCCGCACACGCAGTCTCCACGGCTGCTGCAGATCACTTTGTCTGGGCCGGTGCAGGCGTCCTGCTCGGTGGGGATGTAGTCCCCTTCCGCACACTCACACCTGGGACCCAATCGTCCCGGGTTACACAGGCAGATTCCACACTCATAGGTGCCGTTGCCATGGTGACAAATGGGACTGTCGGGCTCCGCCTTAGCTTGACATTTACACTCACACTCAAAGTTGACTGTGATTTTCAAGGTGTCTTTAAAGCCCACTGGTTTGATGGTAAAGGTCTTACGCTTCTCCTTGGGACAGCCCCTGGCCCGAGCTTCAACGGTGAAGGACACCTGTAAAGGAGATGTTGAGGAAATGCAGGGTGGTTACAGAGCACCAGTGTTCAAAAACATAAATTATAGCATTATTACATTACAAATTAGAACAGAAGGACAGTGCTACGCTCACACTACTGTTCAAAGGTTTGGGGTCAGTACGATTTTATTTTATTTATCAGTTCTGTTAATCGTAATTACATTGACTGCATTTAGCCGGGATGTGGTCTAGCATAACACTAACTATTCAGGCAGCAATGTCAACATAGAAGAATGTATAATATGATAAAGAAAACGGTTAGTGAACTAGACTGAACAGTTTGTGTTGGAGTCTATGTTGTGCTGGAGTTTTGGTTCCTTGCCACTGTCGCCTTGCTATTGGCTTGCTTTTGGCTTGTTCAGTTGGGGTTATTTAGCGTTTAGCAACGTTGTTGATCTGTGTTGTACTACTTTCATGTTATCACTGTGAAGCTGCTTTGATACAATCTGTGTTGTGAAAAGCGCTATATAAATAAATGTGACTTGACTTGGAGGCAGGACGCTTTTTAGGTGTTATCAGACTCTGTATCGTTAGCTGCAGTGCCGTCGCATAGACTGTATATAAAAAGGAGAGAGGCTCGGGAGCGCGCATGCACGTCACATCCGATGGATTTCGCAGAAAATCCGAACCGGAGACTTCACGTAGAAATAACCTGACAAGTGGATCATTGTATGTGGGATTACAACCCCTTCACACACAGGCAATAAAAAAGGAATAATTTTAGAAGAAAAGTTACATATAGCACCTTTAATGAAAGAATTTTGAAATACTACTATTTTTACTGTTTTTTCGATCAAATAAATGTAGTCTTGATGAGCAAGAGACTTATTTCAAAAACTACCCTAAACTTTTAAAATTTAAATGGTAGTGTATATTCAAACATATTTAAATAAAACAAAGTTTATTTAGTATTAAAAATACTTTTTAACTAAATAGTATAGTTAAAAATAACTAAAATATATTATAATGTCAATCTAAAAATAAGAGAAAAATATGATAATATAATATAACAGTTGAAAAATAAAAGTATACTTTATATATATTTTATTTCTTGGATGTGTGGATGTTTAGCCATCATGTACGTGACATATGTGAGTCTTATCCTTCCATTGCTGACAGTGACAGTGACTGTGTTGGAATGACAGACAGTCTGAGATGAAGACTGGGTGGTGTGAGTCAGGGTGGTACAGAAGAGAACAGGAAACAGGCAAGTCTGATGCCTAGACACACTCAGCAAAATGAGTAATGGCACAGTTACACCCACATGTCCTGTATGTGTGTACGTTTTTACAGTTAACCATTTACAAGGAAGGGAGTGAAACCACAATGTTTTATGCAACTCATTTATCAAGGAAGGCAGATAATTGCACATTAGAAAGGACATTTCCTGTGCTCCTCCTTATTTGTGGAGTATGTCAATCCTTCAGAGCATCAGACTGAAAATGAAGAAAAGGGACCCTTGGGGAGTTTTGGAATAAGTGGTTTTGTTAAGCGACACCAGTAATTTAATATGGAGAATAAAGAAACAACATTAGAATCGAATGAGATGGATAGAGACAATTAGAGTGATAGTCAGAAAGAGCAAAAAAGATACTGACGGTATCTCCTCTTTTGAGGCCAGAGCAGGATCTTAGTCCAGGTATGACTTCTCCATTGAGACATGTGGCATTAAATGTCAGACTGAGCTCTTCCGGGACATTCAAGAGCTCCAGCTCAACCTTAGAGCGCAGTTTCTGTTACACAAACACAACAGCAAACAATAGATCAGTGACCACAGACATGTTAATGTCCCAGGTTCAACACAAGTACAACTTTATTGATACCACACAGTTTCTCTGTTCCCTGCACTCAGTTTTTATCCTTATTTATTTGGCAGCAAACGTCCGCCAGTTGATTCATGACTTTTGACAGCTCTGGGACTTTAGATAAAAAATACAAATTAAACTTCCGCATTTTTGTATTCCTACCCATGTACAGTCAGATCGATAGAGGGGTGGAGCCAAAATCAAAATTGCATTTTGGATGTTTTGGCAAAAGGGAACGGCACAACCCTTTTTCTGTTTTTTCTAGTCATGCAGCACCGATTAAAAAAAACTAAACTTTTGACGTTTCAGCTGCATAGACAGCCAAGTTTTATTAAAAGCCCATCATGTCAAGAGTGAATTGTCCCTTAAGTTGAACCCAGAAATTTATTTTGGCAAATGTAAAAAGGGACATTACAGCATATGCATCCTGGATCAGCTGGATGACGTTATGAGAATCCTCGGACAGCGTTCCCACTGCAGTGCCAGGGATCAGCTCACTGTAGTTCTACAATGGATAGAGGGGAAGTCTTTTGAAAGTGTCCTTAAAAATCTTATCAGACATTTACCATATTGATTTACGGTAACATTTAATAACCTTCTTACCTTATAAAGGGATTCCACATGGCTAGTCACAGCAAAGATGAGATTTATATTGTTCTCTGACATTTTCTCTGTGATTAATGCCAGTGATGGATAGTCCTGAGAAAAATGTTAGAATGCATAATTAAAGGTCATATGCTGTCTAATACTAAATATTCCATCAACATTTATGTTTTGTCTATATATTGCAACCGAACTTTGTTTTTCGGGTTTTTGTGGAAAAGTACTTAAAAAGATCAGCAGATTTTCACTACCATAGTTGTAGACATATTGTAGATGTTATCTGTTCCCACATAGCATTGGCCATCATTGGGTCGCACAATTCCTGCCAAGCGCCCATCCAGTGCCACGTGTGTCTTGGCATCTGTGGTGAAAACCAGTAAGTGAGATGCACCTGGTCTCCAACCAATTTTATCCTTAGAGAAAGACACAAATGATCAAATAAGAGAGGTCAAAATGAAAGTAGGCCAAACATACTTATAAAGGTGCCACTTCAACCTTGCACACGGCTGCCTGTATGATGGCGTCGAAGCCTCCCTCTGGGGCGTCCCTGTTCCGGGACACCTTCTGTTTCCTCACTTCCTCTGTAAAGCGGCCCACCTCCTCTGTCAGAGACAGAACGTGTCTGTAGCCAAACTGAGGCTGGCATTTGTACGGAATTCTGGCATATAAAATAGAGAAATATTTAAAGACTAGAAATGAACATGAGAATGATGAGAAGGTTCAGGAAGTTGAAATATGGGCTTCTATTAATACTGGTAACTGTGGAACCATGCCAAACCAATGGGTAGTGTTGGTCATTCACCTTTGCTGGCACAAATGAGTCACAACATTCAAGTTTTAGAAAACAGCTTACAGTGTAATACTTATTTTGTATGTAACTCAGCAAATAGAGACACTTTAACCATAATAGCAGGGTGACTAAAGATAATAAATATCAGATTCTGTCAGCTAACAAGCACACCGCCCAATTACATGTTTGTAATGAACACCTATCATCAGTAATGTTTATGTTCAGCGTGTAAATATATGGCATCACTCACGAGTAACAGGGATTTAACACGGCCTCTTCAGGGGAGATGTACATGTATGGGGACACGGGTTTATCCACGAAAGCCCCAAAGCCCATGCGCAGATTACTGGTGGTTTTGCTCATCTCTTCACTCAAGCCTTGCCCCAGCCGTCGCAACTGAGACAAGTCGTCATTCATGGAGTAGGACAGGTCCATCAGATAATACAAGTCCACAGGGTAGTCCTCAACCTGACGGACTTTCAGCGTGAAGACCTGGGAATCATCTGTGAAACGGCAGAGTAACAATTCGGTCTAATGGAAGAACGTGTAATTTGCAGTCATTCGTTTTTGGGTTGATGAACTCACCAGGTCTTAGAGAGATTTGCATTCTCTGAGGTTGGATCTGGGTGACGTCGGTGGTGGATCCCGAGGCCTTGTCACTGAGATCCTTGTTCTCCGTCACATGCATTTTGCTGGCGGGATATTCCAGAGCTCCTCTCCTGCATCCTGCCTCGATGAGGTTCTTCTTCAGGTCACATCGGGAAGAGCCAGGCACATCTTGTCCAAAATCCTGATAAGCATTTGGTACACAGTTATACTGGCACAGGAAACTTAATAAATATTTCTGCGGCAAATAGAATTACGGAGAAACAAATCAAACACTCCTCGCCTGCCATTGTTGAAAAAAAAAAGAAGAATTCCTTTCTCCTAAGTCAGGTTAATGACTAAGCCAATATTTTTGTAACAAAACTTCACAGCTAAGGAAACAGCCATAATTTTACTTCCATAAGATATAATACACGACTCACACTTTTATATGAGATAAGGAGAAAAGTTTTGAAAAAAGTTGACAGTAACAACACAGAGAAATTCTTTGTTAATAATCCAATGGCTTAAACATAGCTCAAACATAGCTTAAACATAACTCGTCGCACATGATCAACGCTCCTCCCACCTGGACATTCCTTTTCCGGTGTTGTGCCGAATTTCGACCCCCGCCAAATTATTACCCCCCTAGTATTGGTAGGTTTAGGATTAGTTGTGGGGGAGGGGTTAAGATTAGGGGCGGGGTTGGGATTAGGCAATCAGGTACTGACTTCAACGAGGGGGGTAATAATTTGGCAGGGGGTCGAAATTAGGCACAACACCGGCTTCAGCACGGGACTGCAGCGCGAGACTACAGCTTGCCGTCTAAAAGACTATTTAGGTGAGTTGAAACAATAGCTAAGTTGCTAAACGCATCTTGTTCACATGTAGGGTCCCTGTTCATGCTGGAAAGACATTTCAAATCGCGTGTCTGTTAAGAGGCTCAAAAATGCTCTTTATGTCCATGCCTCCATAGCTGCCGTTTTAGCTGGGAGCTCTGGGCATTCGATCGCAGCTCCGCGTAGCAAGCACCAATCCGGTTCGTTTTTTTTTTCTATAGTCAGTAAGGTCTAACGATCAAGATTAACTTAAAAATTCCCCGGAGTTCTCCTTTAAATTGGCATCTATTTGCTAAAAAAAATTATTAATCTTATACCATGCATATTTAGACTAATTGGACTTCTCCATAAGCTTACTTTCAGATCTGCGACCATCCAACCAACAGCGATAGATTTAAATCCCAATTTTTCCCCCAGATAATCTGCTACACTCGGATCACACAGAATAAAATCTGTCGCTACTTCGGTTGCATTGTCATTGACTAGATCATTGACAATGACATTGATAGTAGTGGTGACGGTAAAACCATTGTCTTGAGAAAAAATTCGTTGTTGTAATTGATTTAAAGTTGCAAAAATCTGTTTTGTCATGAAACGAGACAAAAAATCCTTGACTCAGAGATGAAGCAGTTTATTTAAGTCTTAATAGCACAAGGGTATTTGATGTCCTGTTTACATCTGGAAGACGTATTTTTAAGAGTGTTTGCTCATCTGCAAGACGTCTATAGGACGTCTCCTGTCAGATGTCAAATAGACGTTTATAAGATGTCAGTTTAACGTGCATTCTAAATCATTACATCTTAGAGACATCTTCTAAACGTCTATTTGACATCTGCAGGAAACGTCCAATAGACGTCTTGCAGATGAGCAAACACTCTTAAAAATACGTCTTCCAGATAGGAATTCAAACAGCCTTGTGCTATCTGAGTCATGATCTGAACATTAGCATACTAAGATATCGCTGATATAAATATATAAATAAAATAATTTTACCAATAATATAGGCCTAAATTTCAGAAAACATAACAATATTAAGACTACTAAGACTGACTGAATGTTTGATTATACAATCAATTTGCTTCAGCTCAGTCATAATTTTTTGTAGAGCACCTCACCTCTTGAAAGCACCAGGCACAGGTAGGATGCACTGCCAGGCACTGCTGACATGTGCTGGCTCCTCGAGAAGTACAGATGTTGGAGCCTGGATGGAAGAAAAGAAAGAAAAAAAAGCTCATTTTTGATCTCCAACTAGATTTAAACTGCATTTAAACTGGCAGCCTGCAGGTTTATAGAAACAAAAACATGTCTAAACATTAACATTATGATCAGTTTCACAATTGTCTCAATTTGTAGGGGAAATAAATGACCAGCATTACCAGCATGTATCAGACAAAGCATTTTACAAACAGAAGTTTATAAAGTTCACATATACTTATCAGACCTTTATCATACCTGATCTGTCAGATATTTAATTATAATTGAAAGTGCGTCCTGACTACACGCCAAGTTTTATAGTGGGGAAAATGTGGATCCATTTAGTGAAAATGTTGCTTTACGGTTAGAAAGAAAGAAAGAAAAAAGAAAGAAAGAAAGAAAGAAAGAAAGAAAGAAAGAAAGAAAGAAAGAAAGAAAGAAAGAAAGAAAGAAAGAAAGAAAGAAAGTATCTGACAGTCAAAATTAAACTTATTCATTCATCCTCTGTCTTGAGTCACGTCAGAACCATGTCAAAATATAGTAGGCTATATCAAAAATATCAAAATGCGATCAGACAAGACAGAAAAGTTGTTTAGGACAAAATAGATTTAGAGAAAACTGAAAAGACAGGACGTAACGTTACCAAGTCCAGCATCAATTAGGAATGCAATCACACAATAAATCCATAAAATGAAGAGCGTGAAAGAAGTTTTCTCCATCTCGGGTAACGGGTGACTGGATACAGGCGTTTATCGCTCGATCTTCTCTACTGAGACACCGGCGGTTTGTGCGGTCTCTGCCCTCCTCCTATTCCTTTACGCTCTCGACATCAGACTAACACCAAATATAGAGTAAATTTGTGGCGAAACTGGGTTTGTTTCCGAGAGAGGGGCAGAGGAGGGGCTGACTTCACGAACAACCACAGGTCTTGAATTGAAACCGTAAATAGCAAAAGATCTGTAATAAAACTGAGTTTTTTTTTTTACAAGACATCTTTTTCATCCGATTAAACTCTTCTAATTGATTATGATCATGACCCAGATTGCCTATAAACTATGTCATAGACTGGTTGCCTTATTGTAAATCTAGCCTATAGCACAAATGTGTGAAGTTTCTGTAACTTACATCGCGATTGTGTTACACTTATTATGGTTTTGACTGTTTAGTTGGTCTTTAGCTGGAGTTGGTGGTGATCTATAATGAGCTCATGGGGCTGACTGACACTGACTTGGCAGACCTTGGGCAAGCTGGTTAAAGTGTGTACAACACATTGGATTTTTTTTTTTAGTATTTATAGGCTATTTGACTGAGGCCCTACATTAATTAATTTCTTTTTCTTACGTCATGTTTGGTTTCTGTTGTCTCGTCCCATCCCTTGATGTTCAGTCCTCCTTCAAACAATGAAAGATGCCATAGAGAAAAAAAATGGAACTGGAAATGGAAATAAATTTTTTTATTAGGCTATACCAAATGTCAAATAATTTAAATAAAATGTAAATTGAAATAATAAAATTAATAACGTCATTGACACCTCAAATGTCACCACGGATTTCAGGAAAATAAAAACGCGTTATATGTGCTATTTAAATCTTACAACTCCTGTTGCTTCATATACAATAAATAATACTTAAGGGTTTTTAAGAGTCACCCGCCCATCGAATCTCCTCTATAATTTATCCAGATGATGATGCTGGTACTGTTCGCCCTCTAGTGGCTGAACTGTGGATATGTTTAGTTCGAATAACTTTATCTTTTGGGCCTAATTCTCTCTTAATCTGTGTTTAATATTATAACCTAGCAAAATCAAACAGTTTGACCTACTGTCAATTTAGGAAAACTCTCATTTACAATTGCTGTCACATGCCAATGTTTATTTTTTTTTTCAATATTTAAAATTTTCTACAAATTCCACAATGATTGCACAAAAGAGGAGATATTTATCAACATACACAAATAAGTTATTTTCCTCACTTGACTTTAGACTGAGCCCAGCTCATCTTCCAAAATATAAAATCATCCATCAGATCAAGTGTATTTATTTTGTCGCATTGTAACTCTTCGTACCCTGCTTATCCATTCTAAGATTGTTACAATATTGTTGCCAAACTCACGTTTCACACACTTCTCAGTTGTAATACATGCACTAAAAAATGTATTGCAACTGAGAAGTGTATGCCTGAATCACATATTTGATTTTATTACAATGTTGCTTGCGCTTTCCTTGTTTTTCTTTTTCCTAGGATAAGATATTAAACACATCCAGAAATGCCATGCAAAAAACAACAACCAAACGTTTGATTTTACACTCTAAAAATGAATATGCTTTATCTAATCAATAAAATTGTGGCAACAGATTGCAAGCAATATTATTAATTAAATTGACAAATTAGAATTGGGTAATAATTAATCAAAATATTCCTTAAAAGTTAACCATTTAAAATGAGTAAAGTTTACACCAAAAAATTAAACAAAAATATCTGAATAACAGACAGACATCAAAGATTATTTTTTTTATATTATCTTTATGTTATATTGCCAACATTGAAGACACCTGATGTTAACAAGCAGAATCACTGAAGGAGAAACCCGTCATTTAAAAACAAACCTAAAACAAACACTTAGCACAATGGTGACTTAAACATACTTTAAAAAAAGTTTTACTCATTTTAAATGGTTAACGTTTAATGAATTAATTTGATTAATTATTATTCAATTTTGTTGTTAAATTTAATTAATAATATCTGTTGCCACGATTTTTTGTTTAGATAAAGCGCATTCATTTTTACAGTCTAAGTTCAATCTGAAACGTTTTAATGTTGAATGTTACAGCTAAAGATCATCTTCAGGAATATGATACAACTTTGTGCACGATGCCAGGCGAGGCCTTAACTTTATTTACCTTTTTATAAACTATGTGGCTGGAATTATAAGAACCTGTCTGCCAATCAACTTTCAGAGCAACAAACATGAGTGGCATAATGTAACATGTCAGTTCATGCTTTCAAAGACAAACATTCCTTTTGGTCAAACATATTCCTTGAGTTTTCTTTTACAGTCTGAAACTCTGGTGCATCTTGAACTCATAACAACACAGGATAAAATTACTTAAATTCCTGAACATAAAGTAATGAGAAGTACTTACAAACCCAAAACAGAACAAAGGAGCAAAGTATGCATTCCTCCAAAATAAAAAAAACAACATGTATAAAAAAACTAATCTATTCAATAAATGCCAAATATTAAATGACCAAAGCAACTTTATATCTATAGATTAAATGAACAAGTCCCTATATTATTTAGCTGAATGAATTCCCCAGAAATGTATTGCTTGCTAAACATTTATTTTGCCAAATGAGCATCATTAAGCTTTATTTTAATTTGCAATATAATCTTGTGGCCTCTGACGCCCAAAAATAACTCTAACAGCTCCCGTCACATTTTCAGGGCATTCACAGATAAAGCTCGGTGGGACTGCAAGGGGATTTATTTTTAGAGGGTCTATCAGCATCCTTTGGATGTGGCTGTAGATTGACAGGACAAGTGTGGCCAGCAGGATGAAGGAAGTGAGTTCCTGGATCTAGACCACACACCCCCACCCACTGACCCAGCATTCCAATAAAGAGAGATAGAGCTGTTCTTGCTTCCTCACGCCCCCTTTTGCTCTCCCAACACTTCACATGCTCTTGGCCATGTGTATCTGCGCTCACCTCTCAGGACTGACAGAAGCTCGGCTGGCAGTCTGGGCCACGGAGGAAGACTGAACATCCAGGGATGGGTCGAGACTAATGATAGAAACCAAGAAACATTACAAAGTAAGAAAAATGGTTGCAGAGGAGGTAGTGGTGACCCTCTCAGGAGGTGCACCGTGGGGTTTCCGATTACAAGGAGGAGCTGAGCACCAGAATCCCCTCCAAGTGGCAAAGGTAAGGGGACAGTTCGATATCTATACCTGGTTTAGCTGAATTGTGTGTCCCATTTAAAAGAAGGGTCTATCAACCTGTTAAAAAAATACTGCACATAATTACAAGTAAAATGGTCACATTGAAAGATCATTTATATATGTAAAATAGGCCTATGACATTTAGCCCTGGTCAGATTTTTTTTAATCTGTGCAGATATGTTTGTCCCACATGTCACTGAATACCTATAACACTTGATGAGACTACAAGATTAAAGTATTATTGAGGACATTTTCTGATGAAAACTCATGTGGGTCATGCGGCCCGTTCACATGTGTGAGGATATGTTTGTCATATATCATGTATGAACAACAATCTTGTTGGGGCCCTTTAAATGAAATACTCATTGTATATTCTAAAAACTTAAAATGTGATTAAGATAGATATAGCATCGACATATGGGCAAACATAAATAAGATAACACTGTCATATCATATTACAATTACTAGAGAGTACATGCTAGAGAGCACTTATTCTATCTGTTGATAAATGCTGTTCATGAGCTATTTGGCTGTACGCTGTAAGCATTCCTGGTCCATAGATAAACCTGCTCAGGGCATCTCTTCACTCTTATCTAATTGACAGCTTTTGTTTGGCTTCCTTTGGAATCCAGATCTTTCAGAGAAGCATTCTCACACAGTTCTGTATAAATGAGGATGTTATTTCAGGAGTGAGTGTAATTACAGCCACAGTGTCTACTTATAAGCACAGTATGCCCCATTTGTTAAGTGACAACTGTGTGAAATGCATTTTCCCTGATCTAAGGGCTATTTTGGATTGGTGAGTGATGGCAGAGACAGTCTAGTCTACGCTTTCCATGTTCCAAAAGAAAAGATATCCATCATAGAGCAATGGCCCTGACTTTTTTATTTCGAGAAATATATTTTTGCTTGGAAATAAATGTCCGTCCAGCACCAGGGAGTTTCCCCTCGTCATTCATTTCAAGGTCACTTCTGCAAACATTCATCTCGTTTCCATTTGCGGTGTGGCCTTTTTTCCATGACCATCTCTACTTTTAATTGAGCTATTCTGATCCACCCGGATCTCTGATTGCTCCTTTTAATCCTGGCATCTAGAACGACCTCAGTGACACTTGCTCGGCTATCAAAATCCTCTGGCAATGTTTTCGAAAATGACTGAAGATGTACAGGGTGTCCTCGTATAATGTAAATGCATTCATACTTAATGCTTTGCAAGCCACATCCACTTGTTTTACTATATTAGTACTATGTCCACTTCTCATAAGTATGCACTCATTGAGTTTTAAGCTAAATCTACTGAGGCTGAGTGACAACTGACTCTTTACAATAGTTGAGCACTTTATTTAGGCAATGTGGGGAACACATGGTGAATTCATGACATGGTTTAGGTCTGCCAAGTCAACAGCTGCCCTGGCACCAGCTGCCCATTTTGTTCCCCCAACCTGCATTCACAGACCATTTGATCGGCAATAAAAAGAAGGTGAACGGGCCTGGCTTTTATCTATTGTCTTCCAATTACAAGTTTGTGTTACCAGTTTTCACAGAAAAGCTTTTAGCATTGTGTATGTAGTTTTAATGGTCTCATTATGCATTTATTTTTGTCCACAACTTACAAAAAGCTGTTTTTAAAATTAGACATTATATAAGACTAGTCTGAGCTGCTCAGAGCTGTTAAGCCCTTTAGGCCTTTGCAGGGGAAAATACATATTTGCTTTAGGTTGAGTTGAACATATCCCCCCTCAACTCATCAAATCAGTTGTAAAGTGCCTTTAGAAGCGAGAGACAAAGACAGGAATGTGGCTGGCCTTTAGCTTGGGACGTGTTGATGAAGTGAGTGTTAGAAAAGCGCTCTTATATTTGACAGATGACCTCAGGAAGGCTCTACACTCAAGGGTATTTGAAGATGGGCAAACATCCATGTAAGCAACACTGAATCTGCCAATACAAAACTCACTGGATGAAGCCTATAATATTTAGTTTGACAGTAAAATTATTTAATTTAGTTGACTAGCTTCCATGTTGATAATAAAATAATTTTTTGCTAAATTCTAAACAATTCTTAATACACGATTTGATAAACTATATTTCGGTAGCTTATATTTTTGTAGAATTATTTAAATAGGCTGTGCAGTATTTTATGCAAAAGAAGAAACAACAAAAGTTGAACAGAAACATATTATCAAAAACATTCATTCAGTGATACATTTCGTGGGTATCATGAGTAAGTTGTGAGTGAGTCACACTCACGTTTAAAAACCAAAAAAAAAAAACAAAATCATATATGGAATATGCTTCATATGTAGAACCCCAATGAGCCCTTTTTTCTAAAAAGAGCCATAAGGACAATTCATAACAGCGGTTACAGAGAACATACAAGAATTAAAATCAAGAATTCACTGGCCTGGTTCATGTTCAAACAGCAAACATAATGTATAAGGTAAAAAACAACTTACTTCCTGGCAATATTCAAAAACTGTTTTTCAATAGAGAAAGGGAGGTAATTTTAGGATTGAGTGCAACTTTAAAAATCCCTGTGTCTGTACAACATTAAAAGGTTTTTGTATTTCTAGATGTGGAGTGAAGTTGTGGAACAGACTAAGTTTAGTGCTCAAACAATGTCCAAGCATAACTAAAATCAAAAAGCGGTACAAAAGTATATTTTTGACAAGGTACGAGATATATATATATATATAGGCCTATATACATATTTTCCATTGTTTAATAATTATGTGGATACAAATATAGGTAAACATCTTTGTTATTTATGTATTCTCGGTTTATATGGAGAAAAAAATAGATGTAGATGATTGGCCACCGGAGTATTATTGATTAAATAAGCTCATGCTTCTTTTTTTTTCATTCTTCATTAAATTATTTTTTATTTTTTTATTTTGCTTTTTATACACATTCGAAATAATAATAATAAAAAAATAATAAAATGCTTTTTTTTTTAGCCCTTCATTTTCTTTACACATGCATAAAAAACATCAAGGAAGTTTGTTACAGTAGTCTAATTTACACTCATGCTCCCACACAGTCAAACAGTAAGTGGATTTGAGCTGTAGTCAGTCACAGAAAGATTGTTTAGTAAACCTGGTTTTGAAGCATATTACATGGTGTGTCCGCTGTTTTTGCTTCTTTAAGTCAAGTCAAGTCAAGTCACATTTATTTACATAGCGCTTTTTACAATACAGATTGTATCAAAGCAGCTTCACAGTGATAACATGAAAGTAGTACAACACACAACAATAATATTGTTAAATATTAAATATTAGATATCCCCAACTAAGCAAGCCAAAAGCAAGGCAACAGTGGCAAGCAACACATGCTGGGGTGCGTTGTAACAATTACATAGTGGGGTGGATTGTAACAAAGGCACACCATGTATTTGACATCAACTTATAAGAGCTGTGATATTCTTGCGAGAGCTGTGAGGTTTGAATGAGTGCGTTTAGTTTTGTAATAAACAAATGTGGGTACTTTTTAAAAGCAAAAAGTGTTACAACCATACCCACTGTAGTCTCCCTCTACATCCTTATTTATCTTCCTGAAACTCATCAACAGAATGTTTGTGCTGACTCTGTCTCCCCCTGTTGTTAAAGGTGAGGAAGCGCAGTAAGGCCTGTAGGGCTGGGCTCAGAGAGACTGATGAGCTGGTGTCAATCAATGATGTGTCCTGTGGAACACTATCTCATGCCGAGGCTATGAATCTGATTGATAGTGGCAGAGGAACCCTCCATCTGCGAATCAAAAGATCGGGGTGAGATATGATTATCATGAGGGACTGAGAGTCATGCTATTGAATTTATATTCAAAATAATCACTTTGCATTCCATTCAGGGCCCCAGCTGCATATCAGTCAGTGGTGCTTCTGGGTCGGGCCCCCTCTCCCCGCATTGATAAGGAGTTCCGGGCAGCCTTTAGTGCACTGTCCCCGCCACTTACCTCTAAACCACCCGGTGTCAACCGAGCATCGCTCATGTCCCCCACCGGCGGCCTAGAGTGGCTTCGGTCCCCTCCAGACAGTGAAGCTTACTACGGCGAGACAGACAGCGACGCAGATGTGGCGGCTCAAGAGAGGCAGCGTAGACAGAAACGACGAAGCCCCAGTAGCTCTCCTGCCAAGAGCCCCGGCCAAGCCTCACCCCAAGAGGAGGAGACTTCGGAAATGAGTGGCTATGAGAGCGCCCAGGACATCTGCATGTACCCTCAAACACAGAGCTGGCCTGTATCTGATCTAGAGGGAACGGGGACTCAGCAACAGCACGTAATGCCTGGGGTGGCACGCAGAGAGGTGGTCTACCAGTCCTCGCAGCCTGAATGGTCACACCAGGCTGAAAATTCCTCTGAGAATTCAGACCAAAGTCCATCAGGAGCTGCTGAAGTGGACAGTGGTTTCCAGGAGCCTCCCACTATCCCACCTCCACTTGTTTCTCCAGAGAGGGCAAAAGAGGCTCTCATGCTTGCTTCTCACAGACAGATGGTACCCATGGTCGGTCCTGTGGACAACCCAGTGGATGAAGAACTCACTGTCACGTACATGGACAAGGCCAGGCAAGCTAGTGAGTACCAGTCATCTTTTTAAAAAAAAGCACACACACATTACTGTTCAAAAGTTTGGGGTCAGTATGATTTATAAAATGTTTTTGAATTATGCTCACCAGGGCTGCATTTATTTAATCACAAATACAATAAAACAGTAATTGTGAAATTGTATTACATTTTGAAATTACTGTTTTATATTTGTAATGTATTTTAATTCATTCCTGTCATGGCAAAGCTGAATTTCCAGCAGCCATTAGTCTTCATTGTCACATGATCCTTAAAGGGTTAGTTCACCCAAAAATGAAAATTGAGTCATTAATTACTCACCCCCATGCTGTACCAACCCCGTAAGACCTTCGTTCGTCTTCGGAACACAAATGAAGATATTTTTGATTAAATTTGAGAGCTGTATAACTACCACATTGGCTGCCTAAGGGACTGCCTCTTGACGGCCCAGAAAGTCAATGAAGAAAATGTTTAAATATCCCAAGTGACTACCGTGGCTCAACTATATGTTTATCAAGCGACGCGAATACTTTTTGTGCGAAAAAACAAACAAAAATAACGAGTTTATTCGACTATTTCTTTTCTTCCTTGTAGGCCAGAAACGAGATTTCCTTAGATTTCCACGACGCATGTGCGAGAATTGCCATCTGAAGTAGTGTAAGCAAATCGCAATTCTCGCGCATGCGTCGTGGAAATCTAAGGAAATCTCGTTTCTGGCCTACAAGGAAGAAAAGAAATAGTCGAATAAACTCGTTATTTTTGTTTGTTTTTTCGCACAAAAAGTATTCGCGTCGCTTGATAAACATATAGTTGAGCCACGGTAGTCACTTGGGATATTTAAACATTTTCTTCATTGACTTTCTGGGCCGTCAAGAGGCAGTCCCTTAGGAGGCAATGTGGTAGTTATACAGCTCTCAAATTTAATCAAAAATATCTTCATTTGTGTTCCGAAGACGAACGAAGGTCTTACGGGGTTGGTAGCATGGGGGTGAGTAATTAATGACTTAATTTTCATTTTTGGGTGAACTAACCCTTTAAGAAATCATTTATCATTATCAATGTAAAATCAGTGTTGCTTGATATTTTTGTGGAAACTGATAAATTTTTTTCCAGCATTGCTAGATGAATAGAACATTCAGAAGAGACTTGTGTGTCATAATACAAGCCTTTACGTTCACTTTTGATCAAGTAAAGATATCTTTGCTGAATACAAGTATTAGTTTATTTCGTAAACCTATTTTTTTAAACCTTTGAACATGCTTGAATATCATCAAACAATAACTCTTTGACTGAACTTAAATCACTTTAACAAATTTCTTTAACACTTTGTGCATATCATTGTTCATATCTCTTTAAATGATAATGAGCAACTGCTCACCCCCCACCCCTCTCTTCCATGGGAGTGTCAAATGGCTGAGGGCAGAAATATGCTAATTCGGGGTAGTCCGTCAGTGGTCGTGGGTGGGGCATGACCATTATGACATCATAGTACTCAGAAAATCCAAATGCCTGATTATTGAGTGTGTTTATACTTTTTGAGGATTAAAAAAGGAGTGAATGGATTTTGAGAATGAGAACATGGATCAATGGCCTTGTTACCACTGTTCAGGCTGCTGCTGGTGGTGTAATGGTGTGGGGAATGTTTTCTTGGCACACTTTTGCCCCGTAGAGCCAATTGGGCTTTGTTTAAATGCCACGGCCTACCTGAGCATTGTTTCTGACCATGTCCAACCCTTTATAGCCACCATGTACCGATCCTCTGATGGCTACTTCCAGCAGGATAATGCACCATGTCACAAAGCTTGAATCATTTCAAATTGGTTTCTTGAACATCCAACAAATCTCCATCAACTGCAAGATGCTATCCTATTAATATGGGCCATCATTTCTAAAGAATGCTTTCAGCACCTTGTTGAATCAATGACAGGTATAATTAAGGCAGTTCTGAAGGCGAAAAGGGGGTCAAACACAGTATTAGTATGGTTTTCCTAATAATCCTTTAGGTGAGTGTATATGGAGGATGAATTCAGAATTATTTGTGTACTGTGTTGAATTTAACCTCTGAAAAATTCACTAGAGATAAATCATCCATGTCAATTAAGAAGGAGTGTAAATCTGGACCTGGTGTGATGCAATGATATTTGATAAAATTAAGCCAGAATTCAGCTTATCACATTTTTTACTGCATATTGCAAGATATTGTGTGTGTGTGGTGTGTGTTTGTGGTGATACAATTCATTTTCAGGACAGAGAGCATTTTTGAGGATGAAATAACCTTTGGATTTGCCATACTTCGCCAGTTTTGCAAATCTGAGTTAACCATACAATGAGAATATGAGTTTGCAGTCAAAGTTGAACGGAGCACGACCCATAATTGGATTCACAATGACACAAATTACTCTTATGAGCCAGTTATGTTAATGAATCGATCAACATAAATCAGTCTTAAGAATCATTCACTGAATGAACTCGCTGAATCAGTGAGAGCAGTTTAACTCACTTACTGTACTGCACGTTATCATTACTTTCAGTTTTGTTTGTCTTAAAATTAAGTGCGTTTTGTGTTCTTTGGATTTGTGAAATTGTAATCAGTGGTTATGACAACTTTTAGTTAAGGATACACATTTACTACATCGATTGTCATACAACCTAATAACACAATATGGATCAGTGGGAGTGATGTGGGATAAGTTATTGAGCTCATATACAAATGTGATGGGGATTCCTCACTCTGCTGAGGGTTTAACAGGGCAGGCTATGAGGGCTGGAGTCTATATTTGTCCCATGACTCAGACCTATAATACAAGCCTCTATTGCATGCTGGGAAAGGCATGTCCAGTTGTTGTCCAGTGTCAGTGATATTTCATTCTCTCCAAAATGGTTGGCTGAGATCTACTGGACTGGTTCAGTTACTGTTTTTCTTTTCTTTCTTTTTTTAAATTTAGATTAATGATATGTTTTCTACTGAAGCCAAGTGCTGATTTTTACCAAGTATCATATAACTTGAGTCACTATTCAGTGATTTGAAAGCTCATCCCTCTCAAAGGTTAAAAATCTGACCTTAAATATGAGATGCATAGACAGGTGTCAATGATGTGGTTAATGATGTGATGAGGATTAGGAGTGTTTTCCACAATTCTTCTTATAGTAAGATAAACACGTATTGGAAACTTCATTGGAGTCAAAAACAATATATCTTGTGTCTGTTGCTGATGGGGTGCTAATTCTCCTCTCTAAAACCTTTGGGAAGGGTAAGGGTTTCTCCTCAGCTAATGGCACCCCGCTGACAGTCTGAAGGTCACTTTGCTTTCCAAGACTGATGGGACATTTTTAGGGTTGTGTAGCCTAAATAAACATGTTTTGGTGTTTAATTCTGTATCTCTATTGAGAATCCCAAACTAGAATTCTTGGTTGTGAATTCTCTCGTGTGTATGTCTCTGAGACATTAGTGCAGTGAGGATAAGGGTCCATGACAGCTGCTTTTCTCTGTCACTGTTAGTGGTGAATACAGAATAAGCCAGAGCATTTAGACAGCCTTGGTAAGAAGAGAAGATAAAGCGTGCACACCCGTTATTGTGGCAGCATGGTGGGAGGTCAAACAAGAGTGGTATAAAAACTTGTGGATGTGCCAATCAGAAAAATATATCTGTCTCTCAGATAATGAACAAAGATCAAATGGCATTTGTGGAGGAATTAATTTGTAATGTAAGTGACAAAAAAAATGATAATTCAAAACTGTTCAATGGTGATTTTTGACCTTTTTATCTTTAGCCTTTACAATAAGTCAAATGTTGCCTCAACACTTAAGTCTCAAACACATCTGATCGGCGGTACTTGTTTCAGAGTCAAAGTAAGTTTAGAGTCATTGATTTAGTTGGCTTAAGTCATTGTGGTATGGTTGGAGATGTCATAATGACCCCGGGGGCCCTATCCAGAAAGAGACTGAAGTGTGCCCAAACAGGTGGGAAATGTCCGTTAGCTCTGTTCACTGACCAAAATAGCTGGAATGACATAATGGGGTTTCTCTGGGCCTTTGACAGGGTCTTGCGGTTAGACGAAAGATCTTTAAAAGGCCTGACCTCAGGCTACGGACTGGTTGATTTTGCACCAATGTGGGCAGAGCCCCCATTGCTGGCTGTGCTCCACTGGTGTGTTTGTGTGTGTCCTGCCAGTAAGGCTGGCTTAAGAACATAGTTTTTACACTGAACAACATGAGGAGCTTCACATTGCCTGGAGAGGTTGAACACAAAGGACACATCTATGCAGGTAAAGACCTCAGGGCTTATGTATAGAGCTTTAGAGAGATGGAGCTTGGTTTCTTTTAAGCGATCCAAAATTGGGGATAAAATTATCAATATTGCGAAAGGTCAGACAAGGTGATAGAAAGGTATTATTTACAGTGTCTTGGATTTACTGAGATCAGTTTTGGCTTTTGTGTTTTTGTTAAGTTTGTTTTACTTGTATTGATTTATTGAAATAATTAAGAAAGCTTAGATATGTCAACCATTTCTCATTAAGTAGAGTTGTACACTAGCGGGTTTATATAATGGTTAACCTGTTTGTTGAATGATCATTTGTAATGTCTAGATAAACAAACGTCTCTACAGATAATTACTGTATAATTAAAAATACAATGTCTTTATTTGGACCTTATAAATGAGAATATTTTGAATTTAATATGGCATAATTATTTCAACGTTGAAGATTTAAGGTCCTCCATATTAGAACGAGAATATAGTAGCAAAAAGACCGTCCTAGAGATTTCAGATTCCTTTACCATGTCTTTTAATATAGATGCTGGATCCCCAAGGGTTATTTGCTCAAGCTGTTAGAATCTGACGGGCTATTTGTAGAGAAGGATGAGCTCAGTAATTTACCATGAGAGTTTTGGTGCCAGACATTTCAGCATCTAACCCACTGCATTATATACGAGCTATTCAGACTCAACTGTGTTCCAATTTATTACAATGCCAGTTTGATTTATGAAAGTAGTGACTTTATGTTTGATGACTTTATTTGGGAATTTATGTTTGATGTTGCCTATTAATCCCCAAAGGTACTGTAATATAAAAGTCATAAGATACCTTATAGACCAGACAAGGCATGCTAACAGGCATGTGAAGCCATCTATATAAAACAAAATATACAAATTATACTGTTGGATCAAGTAAATATTTCTCGCTGATTGATACACACACTATCTTTCTCTCCTTAGAGCTACACAGAGGTGAGAGTTCACAAGATAAGCAGGTGAAGGAGGCCCGATCCAGGTGCCGCACCATTGCATCACTCTTGACGGATGCTCCTAACCCTCACTCTAAAGGTGTGCTTATGTTCAAAAAGCGACGGCAGCGCGCCAAGAAGTATACTCTCACATGCTTTGGCAGTGTAGACGGAGAAAGCAACAGTAACACAGAGGGAGAAACTGAAGACGAAAGCCTGTTTCCTGGGAGTGAATCTGAGATCGATGAGGATGGTTTTTCTGCTGCACCAGACCCTACCTGGGATAGCGGTTACCTGGACGTTCTAGACAGGAGAACTTCAGCGTGTATTGTGCCTGACGGAGAAGCAGAGGTAAGCCCGGGCCTAAACGCCACATCAGGAAAAGGGGCCCAGCTTTTTGAACAACAGAGAAAAAGGGCAGAAGAACATATGTCAAACCTGGTTACACCCACTGCCTTCTCCATGCCACAGCATCAGGGAGACTCAACCCTAACGTATACCCCAGTTACTCCAGTCACACCCCTATTCTCTCATAGTACAAGTATGGTGAACGGGGAACCTTTGGTGGTGAGCAGGACAAGTGTTGTGTTGTCATCACCAGTCCAGACACCCATGCCATCAATGGCAGGAGCATTACCAGAGCAAGCAGACTCATCGGCTGCCAACTCAGTGCACAACAGAACTGCCAGGCCATTTGCCCCGGGCTGTGTGAGCCATCGAGCAGCAACTGCTCCAGTAGTCTTCAGGCCAAGCTCTGCAAAAAAGGCTGGATCAACTGTTGCAACTATGCCAACTCCCTTGTCCCCTGCTGGCTCAGAAGGGAAGAAAGCCATCTCTACGACATCACTGTATATCCCTGCCAGACCGGCCACCTACAATGGCCCTTCCTCTGTGCTCTCTCCATCCTCAATCATTTCAAATCCATTTTCTCCTCCCCCTTCAAACGCTCCACTCTACTCCCCAACTTATTCCAGCACCTCTGCCCCCTTTTCTCCAACATCTTCTCATGTAACATCTTTGAGATCACCTTCTGGTATATCTCAGCCTTACTCTCCACCTCAAACACAAGCAATGCATCTCAGTCCTCCGTACCACAAGGTTTCTGCTCAATATCAGCCACCTCCACCGGGTCACATGCCAGCACAGCCTTTCTCTCCCCATCCACAAATGTCCCAGGTATTCCCAATGTCCCTGCCCCAGCCCCTTCCCATGCCTATGCTCCTGAAGCATCAAATGTGCAATCTTCCCCAGCCCACAAAGTCTCCTTTAACCCATACATCTCTGTGGCATCATCTACACCAGAAACACCAAATGCACCAGTTGCCCAGCAATATCCTCTCTTCTCCAACTCCACAGATGGGATGACTTCTCGAGAGCAGCGGGTCTCAGTCCCCGTTGGTCGCACTGGCATCCTGCAGGAGGCTTGTCGTCGTGGCAACAAGAAACCAATGTTCAATGCTCAAGAGGAGAAGAAGGCTCCATCTTATAACCCTGAACTACTGTCTCTAGTGCAGAACTTGGATGACAGGTCCCGTTCGGGTGTAGAGGCTGGATTTGAGTCTGGCCCTGAGGAGGATTTCCTCAATCTGGGTGCAGAGGCTTGTAACTTCATGCAGGCACAGAAATACAAGCCACCACCAGTGGCTCCTAAACCTGCTCCTTCAGCTCCTGAGATGCCACAGATGCAAGGTAAAGGTGCAGAGCTGTTTGCACGCAGGCAAAGTCGCATGGACCGATATGTGGTGGATAAACAGCCCAAATCTCCAGCACAGCCTCGTGATCCGTCACCCTCACCCTCCCTCCCAGGTCACTGGAAATACTCTCCAAACATCCGAGCCCCGCCACCCATTAATTATAATCCACTGCTGTCACCTTCTTGCCCTCCAGTTGCCCAGCGTGGTACAAAGGCTAATGATGCTACTAAAGTTGGAGTTAAAACAGTGCCTGGCCATCACAAACAGGGTATAAAGGCTCTAGACTTTGTGAGCAGGCAGCCATACCAGCTCAACTCCTCTTTGTTCAGTTATGGAGGTGGAGACCTTCAAAACACTGCCATTCATCAGCAGCAGCAGAATGGTGTTGGAATCACAGGTAATTCCCTTAACCCACCAAAGCAGGTCCCTGTTAAAGCAAGCCGTGTGTATGAAATCAAACGTTTCTCCACGCCTACTCCCATGTCTGCACCAACATCCCTGACCCCTACTGTAATCGCCCCTCGCTCTGCCACAACTCTCGGTGAGCCAATGTGGCGCAGTGATGTCACTTCCCCACCTCCAATTGCTCCACGACCTGCGGCACCATTCTCGCCACCTCCTCCTGCCCCTACAGCAGCCCTGCCTGCTCTCCCCAAAATATCTACTGCCCCTGTGCCCAATTCACTGCCCATCCCACAACCCACTTCTGGTCAAGCCTACACCCAATTCCAGGCAGCCAAGCAGTTTAAGAGTGCCCCTGACCTGAGTCCCTTGTCTGCCGGTGTGCGATCCTCAGGGTCCGGGAGTAGCCAGAACCTGCGGGTACCCAGACCCCGCTTCAGTACATCGAGCATGGGTCTGCAACCAAACGTGTGGAGGCCTGGCTCAATACTTTACTGAGAATCCACTGTGACACTAATTATCACCCTGGGCAAGAGCGAGCTCTGTTCTGCTAAATGAATCGTTCGACATCAGTTATATAACAAAAAAAAAGTCAGTCAGAGATGTTTTTTTTTTTTTTTTGCATGTTCACAATTGTAGTATTTCAGTCACTCCAGACAAGTACACAATTATTTTTAAAATAGTGTTTGCAGCAACTTGTCTGTTTGTCTACATCTCTATATGTACTGTATTATTCAGTTTTTTAGAATGTTGAGATATTTATGTACTGTGCACACTTTGATTCATTCAATTATTTTACACCAAATGAACATGTTTAACAAATAGAAAGAATTACACAGACACTATTTGTGAGAGCAACTAAATAAAATAATGGCATTAATATCTAATATTGATAAGTTTTGATGTTATGTACAAGGGGCCACAAGGATGGAATGATGAAGGGTAATTAAACTATATTTGACAGAATCCTATTGTAACAGAAGCGAATGGACCGCAGAGTCATTGACGATTTGTGTACAAGTGTTATAGAATGTTCTAAGACATGTTTTTTTCTCGAGTTGAATCGGAGTCTTAGTGAAAGAAATAAGCAAAGAATGTGAGTGGCGGAGATGAAAACGATGAAAAATCCTCAAGTGGAGAGATGGTACAAATCACCCCATTGCACTTGCTCTTGAATTGGTATCTCATCTGGCCTCTGCCATGCCCTTTACTTCTGATGTTATCCATCCTTTATCATATCTTGAGGTTGGACTGCAGGCCTGTGTTTGTGTGGACTCTATTGCACAAAGCCTTTGCTTCTTGTTTGATGAGGATCAGTATGAATGCTTGTTGATGCATGTGCTCATTTCCTCATAATGCTGCATATCATAGGCCATGATTTGGACTGTGCATTTTCAAAAGCATGTGAACTTTCCAACGGGGAATTGTGCTGGGGCTTTTTCATATGACAGCTGAAAAAAGTACACTATGACAAATTCTGCAAACGCTGATTTATCTTTAAAACATATAATGTGAATGTGACATTGACCACTTCGCCTGCTGCTTGCTCTTATGCTTTTTCCGAACAGGTATGACATCCATTTCAATCACTTGTGTGAGCTGTTTAACAGCATTTGTGAAATTGCACATGTCTTGAACTTTGCTTGCTTTGCTTTTTTTTTTTTTCTTTATCAGAAAAGACCCAATGGCCTTGATGTAATGGAACAGCATGGAATGGTGGGTACCATTTCTCTACTAAGGTTAGGAGGGTTGACTGATGTAAAGCTATTGCCTTTGGTCATTTAAGTATAAAGGTAATGACACAATGGCAAATGGGAGGTATGAAGCAAGATATAAAAATTGAAAGCTATAATAGAGAGGAAACTGCCTTTTTGATGTTCTGTTGTTATAGGCTACACTCAAATATTGATTTTCTTGTACTAATAAGACTGTCATAATGTATGTCATGCTTCTACACAACATTTTTAAAGCTTTAATTTAGTAAATATATTATTTTGTTTTAAATATTATGAAAACGTAATTATATAAAAACAGTTACACTTGCTTTGAGTAATTTGAAGTTTATAGTGGAGTTAGGCCTATGTGCAATGCAAATGTTAAATGAGAGAAAATGGAAAGTTTAATGGACTTATGGATTCTTGGGCTCTAGGACTGGGAATACACGAACGACTTTGTACGGTCTGAGTTAATATAAAGCAAGGAAAATAAATGTAGAAATATAAGTGGCGGGTGTGTTTATTCTATTTTCTCTAATATTATGTTGGTTGCATAGCTCTCAAATAGATTAACCTGCAGACATAAATATAAAGATCATGCTAACGGTTTTATAGTGTTTCACAATAAATGAAGAGTTCAGATGCAAAAGCCTCTAAATGCCATTTGAAATTTTCTTCTTTAATGATGATTTTTATCAAACTTGTATATTTAAGTTCAGTAATTTCACTTAAATGACAATGAAAATTACCTATTAATTGTTATTTAAGTGAAATTACTGAACTTAAATATACAAGTTTGATAAAAATCATCATTAAAGAAGAAAATTTCAAATGTCATTTAGAGGCTTTTGCATCTGAACTCTTCAAATGTTTTTAATCGGATGGAATCTTCAAACGTGGTATGTTGGACATGCAGTTATCCTATAAACCCCTGAGCGGCGCTGTTGCACGAGATTTAAAATCAGTTCGCTCAGTCACATCTAAGGCAGTGCTACAGTTACAAAACACTTGCCATGGAGTGCAGGCATATTTTATCATGTAGAAGTATCTTTAAAACATGTTATATATGTTTTAATATATAATATAGATATTATATAACCTATACGCCCATATTGAAGAGCTAACTAAACTGCATGCAAACATTTAAAGTTTAGATGAACAACCGTAAACAGTTATAACCAAGCTTTGGCTGTGTAATCTTACCTCCTCTCATAAGGTGAACTGCCTTCTGACCCCTCTGGTCTAGGCCCCGCGATCATATGTCACAAGATATCAAGTGCTAACTTTAGCCACAGGTCTGTGTTTCTGTCATGAGACACATTCTTACTTTCACCCTTCAAACGCCCCTACTGGTGATAGCCAGTACCTCACATGCTCCCCACTTTAGCAAAGCAGCTTCGCATACAGAATGCACAGTCGCTCAGACATCAGGCAGGAAGTGCAATAATCGGGCTTCAGTCTTCTCCATTGAAATCAATGGGGTCCATTTCTTTTACTGTCAATGGATCTAAAGCGCATGGTGCAAGTGCACTTAGGGCTTGTCCGAATCCACTTTTCCTAGTTTAATTGACGGTTAAAATGGTCGGCACGCCAGCCAGGCGCATGGTTGGTCTAAAAGGGTTGTCCCTATTTTCTTAATGAGTAATGGGTATGTTTTGGGCGTTATACGTGCAATAAACCAATCAGAGTCTCTTCTCCCATTCCCCTTAAATGCCAACTCCGCTGGCGCCATGGTGGATTCTTTAATTACATGATGGAATTTGATATTATGAAAGACTGAACGCGTCTCCTGAGCGCAAACGGATCTGCTCGTGCGAGGTTAAGGCTACCTCCGCATTAATCGGATTTGAAAACGGTGTTTTCGTTTAAAAACGTTCACCGTCTATTTCAGGAGTTTTCCGACGTTTCAGTGTGGATTTGCCTTACTACGCATGCGTGAAACCTCACAAAAGTTCACCGAGATGATACAGATGAAAATATAAATAAAGTTATCGCGCAATTCTTCAAATAGTTCATTTTCTGTCAACTGTGCAGGACTTTGCACTTTAAACTTTCGTCATCGTTTTCAAATACTTCCAGCTTCACAGTCCACACTACAATGTGAAAATGGTGTTTTCAAATGTATCCGCTTTGGAGAGCGTCATCAATGCACCTGAACACACCTCTTTTTCAGACCAGCATGCCCATTGGTGCTCAAATGGGCACAAATGCATTTGCTACATAAACAACGTGGCGCAGGACGTGAAAATGATAACTGCGTCAGGCTGAAACAAGCAAAAAACACTTGTTGTGCCTGGTGCTAGATTGCACCTGGTGTATGATAGAGCCCAATGTCTGTCCAGCATCACAGCAAGAGGTCTGATTTTCTGTTTGACATTGAGAAGAGTGACTGGAACTCTCACAATGTGCCTTATACTGGCCATACTTTAAACTGCTGAAGTATAAACTGTAAATAATCTTGACTCCTTTTCAGGAGCAATATGTCTTCATTATGGAGGTCTGTCAACTGCTTCTCAAAGTAAGAACTACGAAAAAGACTTATATCAGAAGAATATCAACAAAACCACCTAATGTATAGAATAAAATAATCTGTTTTTTTAGCATTTAGATCCCATTTAAATAAAACAAACTGTGTAATTGATTTACATGTACTGATTAAGATGTAATTCATGGCTGGATACACAATTTACACAATAAAATATTACAATTAATATACAAAATGGTACTGGTAAGAGTAAACAAAATGCTGCAAAGTTAGAGAAATATTGTAATCAGAAAAGGGAAAAATAACAAACGCACAATGTAGAACTATTGTGTTTAGTGAATTGTTTTGAATTAAGAATTTTGTGAAAGTCAAAGCTAGAAATGTGAGCCATTCAATATTCTGCTCAATATTACTGTAGCAATGCTCAGTTCCAAATATTCCTGTAAGAAATACAGAGGGTAAGTGACCAATGTAAATGATTGAAATAAGAAGTGGGACATAATCTTTTTACATGTCCTCCCTGAAAACATGCTCTTCATTGCTCTATATTTAGACCTAAAAGTGTCTGCAAGAAAAGTATCTCCTCACCATCAGCTCTGTCCCTGAACTAAACCCCCTCCCCACTCCCCAAAGACCTCCTGTCCCAAACACTACTATAGGATTTCACTCTCCCTGGGATGTAGAAGAGAGCAGTAGTTGGTGGAAGCCAACCCTAAGGATCTGGATTAACCGTAAAACAGCGCTCCTGGGAACCTTTGATTCAAACTGTGAATTGATTTGTTTTCTGAAACATTGAATCTTTGGTCTCAGGTAAGAGGAATCATTGTGATGTTTGATCGCAACAGTATTAATATCATATACTGAGGGGGTTAGAGTTTGCCGAGATGATTTATTATTGTTTGCAAATGGTAAAAATACATGTTGGTCTTAGATAGATCTGCCTCCTGCTGCATTTCATAACTCAAATAGATCTAATAAAAACTGACATGCTGGATCTTCTTAACAGATATGTACAAACAAGATTTTACATAAACACACAAATGAAAATAAATAACACTCCAACACTCTCCTATTTAATTATATATGTTATTGGTAATGATTAAACGGATTAAACTTTTTGGTACTTACTGAATTATTATTATTATTAGTTTAAATGGAGAAATGTTTCTCACAGCTCCTCAGAAATGTGTTTAATAGGGCATTCAGACTACTCAGGCTTACCATCGCAATGCTTCAGTTGGACATTTGAGGAATTTGCTGACCAGTTACCCATGGTGGATTTATTTAGTGTGCTAAAACAAAAATACCCCTCTTTGCAACAAGAGAATGGTGTCAGTTATGGAATTGAAAGTTTTACTAATTGACCGTAACATAAATATACTTTATATTTATATGTTGCTAATATTAGTGTTAATCGGACACTTTAAATATTCATGCAAACAGTCATCAAAAACAGAAAGCCATATACAGATACAAAACTAACTGTTAATCTCACAAGATTAATACATGTCAAAAACATTGGGGTTTGAAACTGTAAGATTTAATATGACTCCTGACCACATAATATCTAATATATTTAAAATAATTGTTTGTCTGCAAATAATATTGTTATTTTATGGGTATGCTACTTTATTTTGAAGTGAAGAGAGCATCAATAATCCCCTCAGAATTTGGGCCCTTTGTGGCATGTTGCAGAGATAGCTTTTGCTTTTATTTTATCTTTTTTTTTTCTTATTATTTTAGGCATGCATGATCATGCTAAAATCATACCTAAATAAATACATTACAATTCTTTTCTCATCTTCCCCTAAAAGTTTATTCAGATTTCATTCCCCCCTCAGATTGCAGCGATGCCTGTCTCTCGAACACCTGCTCCAAGCAACAAGATGAAGAATCCTTCGAAAATCATCACAGACTTCTCAAACATCTCACAATATGGTCAGTGGTGTTTGTTTGTGTCACATATACATATGTAGTAGAAACACACAGACCTTAATTCTGATTGAACACTCGCTTGTGATATCCTCTGATGACCGGATGAGTGTTGTAAATGTCGCACTTAATTACCAAACGCCCTCACCGGTGTCCTGTGTCAACGTGAAGAGACAGAGCCAGAAATGCCAAACAACCCCCAGGCTCTCTGTAAATTTCTCACTGTGTAAATCTCCACTGAGAACACTTAATTTATTGGTCCCGAGCCTCAAAAAGAGAGAACACTTGGCATAAACACACATATACATAGTATTGCGACCAACTTTAATGAGGGGCTTGTGACTTTTTCTAATAATAGTAACAGTTTGAATTGTTTTTTAATGCATCATTAGATTCACCGAAATGTCACATTTGAACTAGAACAGCATGTTCTAATGTTCCTGTTTTTGCTGGAGTCATGGGCTATCAATTCCCACAGTTTGATGAGCTGTTGCGATGCAATTACTCATCCCAGCTTTGACAAAAAAAAATGCCTCCATCATACTATAAAGACCAGTGTAATGAGCGGTTAGCCTATGCAGTGTGTAGCAGGCCAATTATTCCTCTCAAGAGAGTTAATCTCAAAGACATTGTCAAACTGTGTGACTTCACAGCTCTCCTCTAATGAGCAGCTCAGTTATTAGATGCTTTGGGTTTGTGTGTGAGTGGAGGCCGTTTAGTGTACTAGATTCTCTCACTTCATCTGCTTGGCAGTGTGCTCATAATGGGCAGTTTGTTTACAGGACAACATTCTTGCGGCTAGCGTTTCAGAGCCAAATAAATTAACAGCAAAATGACTGCCAAAAAGAGAAGCTGTTCGGCAGAGATTTCAAGCCGCTTAACTTCAAATTATTTCACTTCAGTCTGTTTCAGCAGATTGTCATGCATACACACATTGGGACAAATATTGCATGTGTGATTCATGCTCTGTTTATACAAACAGTTTTATTCAAATGAATTTGATTTTTTTTTTTTGTTCAAATGAATTTGATTTTTTTTTGTTTTTAACACTGAGCATGTTTGTGCATTCTAGACAGGCATTTATTGTCTG